ACCCCGCCTATTTCCGCCGTGAAGCAGTAATGCGTTTCGGTTCGAAGGGTGGGGTAGCCGTTGTAACTATACTGAGACCTCAGAACTTATATCTCGAGGTGGGTGGCGTATTTACGTTGTAGATGTCTATGGACTCCAGTAACCACTTAACACCAGGTGGGCTGTGAGCTCGTCCATCCATCTAAGCAATAAAAAATAAAAATAAAAAAAAAATGTCTCCCATCAAAAAAAAATTAATAATATTTTCTTTTTTAGAACAGAATTTGAGGAAAGGTATTTTGTTTTAAGTACTGAGACGGGTGTACAATCTTCCTTCCATCTGGAGTCCAGAAACGCAGTAATGGTTCGCTGCAGAAATACGCAGAGTAGGTGATGCCTAATCGTATGGATTCACCTACCACCAGAATCGGAAGACGTAACATGTATTTTGAAACTCACTCCTAAAATAAGCAATGTTTTAAAATGCCGTATAGGTATGCAAATAGCAAAAAAATTGTAAAATTATATAAAATAATCTATACTTCTATACTTCTATACTTACTAATATTATAAAGAGGAAAGATTTGTTTGTTTATTTGTTTCGAATAGGCTCCGAAACTACTGGACCGATTTGAAAAATTCTTTTTCCATTAGAAGCCGACATTGTTCCTGATGAACATAGGCTACTTTTTTTTATTTTTTTTTTATTTTTTTTTTTGGTTTCATGTGTGTTTTAATGTTTCCGAAGCGAAGCGAGGGCGAGTCGCTAGTAAATATATAAAGCTGAAGAGTTTGTTTTTTTTAACGCGCTAATCTCAGGAACTACTGGTCCGATTTGAAAAATTCTTTCAGTGTTAGATAGCCCATTTATTGAGGAAGGGCTATATAACATCACGGTCAGACCAATATAAGTGGAGCACCAATAAATAATGTTTCAAAATATTTTCACTTTCTACGTAAATGAAGTGGGGGGTAAAATTTAGCATTATGCCAAAGTAACTATTCCACGCGGACGAAGTCGCTGGCAAAAGCTAGTATAAAATATAGATAATTACGTCGGGCACCTGTGCTGACTGACGCAAGTATGCAAAGGCAGATCTTCGGCGAACTCAACTGCTGAGTTGTGGAATTTGCAGACGACGCCATCCGCTGGACCGGTGGTCTGACACCGTTTTCGTTAAATTAAGATTAGTAATAAGTCAGCCTTAAGCTAGATTCGGTGTGGAATAAACATTCCTAAAATATAATTTCTATTTTTTAAAACGTCCTCCGCGTGGCCTGCAACTTGACTAGATACATAATAATAATAATAACAATTATTATAATAAAAAGCTCGACCCTAGCCCGAATGTAAACAAGCCCTCCAGGTACCACTACCAAACTCAATTTGGAGGAGAAATTGCTCGAACAACATTTATCATTCAAACACTGCGAGGCCAGAAGGACTGACCCCATATAAAGTAAGATCGGCTAAAGAAAAAAAAAAAAAAAACTTTATTGACGACGCATATATACTATATATATGCGTCGTTTTGGTCTTGCCAGAGAATAAATCTAAGTTTGTACTTAAAAAAGACTATTCCAAAATAATAGATCCCGCTAAGCTCGAATTTGCACAATAAATCCGACCAAACCGACCCAAAATGAAAGTTAGGTGCTTAAAGCAGGTCTGAATATTTTTTGAGACTGCTGTGATACCGTTATTAGAAATTCAACATGGAATTCTCGAAGATTAAAAATCAACTTTTGTTGTTTATATTGAGGTTAAGAAAATATATATGAAGAAGATCTTCCACCGAGCGGGTAAAATTAATCCGTAGACCGATGCTTCTAATGTTTTTTTTTGGGAATGAAGCATTACTGTTGGAGGTCTTTCCAGTTTCACTTAAACAGCAAAGGCTCACCAATTTTTTTTTATACGATTAAGGTTTTTTTTATCCCTACCTATGCTGATAGCCTTTACTCCAGCTTCGCCCTAACATGTAGGTGAGCTCACGCGGCTCAAGCCGGAGTGTTGCTAACATTGGCCCTAGCAAGAGCAGTGCTTCGCAGAATCTACCGCCGGATCGGAAACGCGACCCACTGAGAAGATCCGGCGAGAAACTCAGTGGTCTGCGTCTGTGGAAAGGTTTATTGTTCGGAACTTGTATAAATAAGAACAAAATGTTACTAGTGCGATTCAGGCATAACTCAAATATCTCCTGTTCTGTAATAGGTACCGCGACAAAGCGAACTCTTTCAACGAAAAGGTCGTCAAATCCATTGTCATCCATTGCTAAAGTACACGTCTACGGTTATTCAGCTTAACGGATTTCTCGGTTTAATTGTCTAAGAAAATAAAAACCAGCACTAATGAACCTCTGACCGTAATTATGAAAATAGAAGCTAACACCCAAATAGAATAGGGTTTAATTTTGTTTATTACAATTACCGTCTAGCTATGTTGTTGTGTTCATTATTCTCGCGAAGTTTCTAGAAGCACCATCAGCCGAATCAGTATTGTATAGTTTTTGTGTTGTTTCAAGCAACTTTAAAAGTTACTAGTGGTCCCGCAGTAGTCGAAATTCGACTATAATTAATTGGTATTGTAAGTTTTTACACTATTATGATTGTATTTTATACTTTTATAATCACACATTTCGCCTAGGTTACTCTATAAAAAAATATAAATAAAGACGAACAATATTTAATCTATTCTCAATTTGACCACAGGCGTCAAGAACAAAAGCTTGACAATAAATAGTTATGCATGCGGGTGTGCGTCAAATACATGGTATGTAGTGTGTGTAATGTTTTCTTTATTGATTTAATGTATCTTTTATGCATTATTTAAAAAAATTTTAGCATTGTGCACTTCTTCTCTATATTCTCTATAAGTGTGGAAAATTTCATACTCCTCCGTCCGCGCAATTTTCGTAAAAAGGGATACAAAGTTTTTGCTTCACGTATTAATATATAGATTAGATTTTGTGTAGCAACAATGATTCAATTTCCGTCTCGCTCTCACACAGCCTATCTCTGTCGGTGCTTGTACAGTTTTTAATTAGCTTCAGATAAGACCTCACAAAGAGAATGAAGTTGTCGGTCTTTCGACCCAAATTCGAAATTTCAATTACAGAAGATTTAAAACAAAATTTGATGCAATTAGGCGCGGGAGTAGCCTAACTCTTAGCATCGTCGCCCAAAGCACGTCATTACGGATCCTCCCGATCCATTAACGGTGCTTTTAGGCACCACAAGCACCGGTCATCGTCCTCGTCGAACCCGTCGCTTGCGACGAAGGGCTGGACGAGTGAATTAACCCATAGACACAGCCCACTGAGTTTCTCGCCGGATACTTCTCAGTGGGTCACGTTTCCGATCCGGTGGTAGATTCTGCGAAGCACTGCTCTTGCTAAGGGTCAGTGTTAGCACACTCCGGTTTGAGCCCCGTGAGCTTCACGTACACACGTTAGGATGAAGGTAAAGCATTGATGCAAAAAGCATTGATGATGTTTATGACGGAGCTTACTCGACATCCAGCGGAAATCATACTGGTATCCTATTAGGGCAATAAAAAAGGACAAGCATCACCGACTAAAACTGGAATATACGATTTACTACCCTTTTAAAATAACATTTAAAAATCAGCTGACACGCGATGAGGACAGTTTCATGTCTAGTGGTTAAATGCGATTTCGTTTAAGTGACATTTCACTTAATACACCACATTTATCTTTATAATTAAAGGTCCGTTTTATTTAGTACTAGCTTTTGTCCTCGACGCCGTTCGCGTGGAATAGTTACTTTGGCATAACGTTAAATTTTACCCCCACTTCATTTACGTAGAAAGTGAAAATATTTTTGAATTATAGAATGTTAAGGAGTTATTTAAATCCCAATTTTACACGTACACGAGAATTAGTACACGTAGTAGAAGTTTTTTATCATGATATTTTTTCCAAATTTTAAACTTTGTATGGCTCTGCTCTAAAGTTGCAAAAATTACGCTTAAGCCACATATCTTTTCACCTTCTCGATGTCATCGTCCGGTGTATACCAAATATGCCAGAATTCCTTGCGAAAATAACATAGAAATTTTTGAAATCTAAACGACGAAATCTTTTTCTAGTAACTTATTCGTAAAGCAACCTAAAACCGTTCAACAAAAAGATTTTACTCGGATAATATGTATCTTAGCTTAAGCAATACTACATATCAATCCGTTTAGAATTTGAGCCGATGTAGCGTGACCTTATGAATTGTTTGACTCCTATGTGATGACATCATGGTCTTTAAATACCTACCTTAATCTGATCTCAATCGCTGGCTTGCTACTTGGAGGCTAAGCAACACAATATCTATATGTATTTTCAATGGGCTATAGAAATTATTCTACGTATTGCTTAATTTGACCGCAGTGAACACAGGTTTTCATTGTTAAGGAATCATTAAAGAAACAAATTATATTTTGTAGCATTATAAGTATTTGTACTTCCAAAATTTAGTAGCATAATAAGTAACTTTGCGGTCTGGTTTTCATTAACAATTGTTTCGCGAATGCCAGTAACTTTACGTAGTCACGACATTACAGCCTATCCGTATTGACATTATCATTGGCATAGTCACGATTGTGTAATACTGGGCGTCCACAATCTCAGCTCTGAACAATAACATATATTTGATAGTAAAATACGACGAAGTTTAATAATGTCCTTAAAGTTTTCACAACGTTTATGACGAAGTCGGAACAGTACTCACATTCACTCTGATTTAAATGAAAGCAAAACCGAAATTAGCAACAGTCGCCTTTCAATTGTCGGCCGCTGTGCAGAAAAATTAACACAACTTCAATATTAATTTACAAAAAAAAAAATTGTTTCCCTATGCACAATAATTATTCGATTTATTCCGTTTTTATATTTTACTTGTGAATTGTAGCATAAAGCTATTCAATTATCACTGTAAACGAACTGTCGGGTCTGTTCGGACGTCACATGTTGTATGAACTGTGCCACAGTACACTGCGTGTATCATCATCATTAAAATAATATCAATAATAGCTGGCCATCCTTAGTGCAACGTCGGACGTCAGCGGAGCGCGTTGTGTTCTAACCTCAAAAACGTCTTTTGTTAATACGTAATTCTATATTTGAATTTTTATTGTACAAATCTGTTTTGTCGTTTTTTTTTTTTTTTATTGTGTGCCTGTGTTTTTTTTTTCTTCGTCCTCAATCATAATGATGGCGGACGGTGATGTTCCATTGGTAAACAGTTATTTAGGCAGTGAGATTGAATATGGCGCGAACGGATCGAAAAGCGGCAAAACTAACTCCAGGTTAGTAGATTATTAATATTGAAGAATTATATAATATGTATTATTTGGATTTTTAGACGAATACTTTTAAGTTTCGTTGAGAAATATTTTCTGTTGTGGGCACATTAAAAATTGTGAAAAAAAAAAATTAACCGATATTCGTTGGTTGTCCATAAACGAATGTATCCGGCGCAGAGTTTCGTCATTTGAGGACATTTGATTGTGGTATGAATATAACGTGGGCACATGTCCACTACGTTAATAACAAGTATACAAAAATATCGATTCAATTGAATACAGCACACAATAAGATGAGGAAATAAAAAGTTGATCGACAATTTTAAAGGAAACATAAATTGTATACAGCATTCGCTTTGTTTCCAAACAAAATACTAAATTATACTCTAAAACTCTTTAGATTTCTAGCCGAACCTTGACGTGAAGGCCGCGAAGACTTCTCTTATGAATGCATTATAACTGGTTTTGTAGGTAACATAAAAGATTTTCGAAAGTACTTGTAAAGTAAATATTCTTAAATGGATACCTTTGCTTTTGTTTATTTAAAAAAAAAAAACTATTCTCTGCCAACTGTCAAAATTATTTATGCGTTAGTTTTTCAATGATTCTTCCTTTTCTTTGAACATTATGTGCCGCCATTCTAGAGGTAATTATAGTTTTTTTTAAATAGTATTTAAATGAACATTATTTGATAATTAGATTGATAAGAACATGATTACCACAACCACAACCAAATTAATGACCTATTTAACATAACCTTAAAAATCATATAAATATTATAGGCAATATAATAAAACAGTTATTCATGTGATACCTAGTATTTTATTAGTTTTTATTTATTATTTTCATCGGTTTTCTCTAATATTTTACTTATGCAATCAAAACTTGTTTTACGAGATAAGATCTCTTTTTTTTTTAAATTATCATTCCATTATTTTCCGCAATTCCGGCAGCTTTTTATAAGAGGTTTCATCTGCGTTAATTAAAAGTAAAATCTCAAACCCTGGAAATAGGTTAGTTTTTTCCTTAATCTAAACCTATTCCTATGTATATTTCTGGTGAAGGAACACTACTTATCTTCTTAGTGCTGCTTGTTGCTTCATTATCATTTATTATTTCCATACTGTTGATGTATTTTGTGTATGTAAGTATATTAGTATGTATTGTATGTATATTGGTATATAATTGGCATATAAATATTGGTATATATTTAACCGGTATATATTTTGTTTATTGTATGTATATATTTTCTATAATGTATTATCTATAGTACACCGCAACATACCTGCTATATTTTTTTATATTTTCCAGAATTTCTATAAATTAAACGGTTGTCTGGAAGAGATCGCTTTTAGCGATAAGACCGCCTATTGTACAAATTTATCTGCTTTTTTAAATTGTTTTTTGAATGTAAATTGTGTTTTGGTGTGCAATAAAGTGTATTCTCTCTCTCTCTCTCTCTCTCTCTCTCTCTATATATATATATATTATATGTAATGTAAATTGTGTTTTGGTGTGCAATAAAGTGTATTCTCTCTCTCTCTCTCTCTCTCTCTCTCTCT